CATAAATTATTTCTTTACAAACTGCATTGTATGTAAATCATATGAACATTTTCATATTAGTTAATAATATTACTGAAGTTAATTTAAAAACTGAATCCATATAAATTTACACACATTTACACAAAACTAAATAAATAGACTCAATGATGGGATGATAATCTGCGGCTTTCTGCGTGCACAGATTCCGTGTGGGCCTAGTAATGAGCTAACAATTTCTACTGACAAAAAAAGTCAATATATGATACTTTGTTAAAGCAGAAATTGTAATGCAATTTGAAAGCGCAAGTACACACACAAACAAAAACTACCCATGAATCATGAGCCAAAATTATTAATTAACTGGTACTCTTACAGGTTTTTTAGGTATTTATATAGGTATTAGGTGTTTTCTACCTAAGCAGGATACTTCTTTATGTTATTGCTTTTAAATAAAGCACCAAAATAGCACAATAATTTTTAAAGCTATTTAAGAGTAATAATTAATAACAATTTGTTGATGTTGTAATTTAAAACGATTTATTAACACTTTGATTTATTGTCAATATACACTCACTGGCCATTTTATTAGGTACACCTGTCCAACTGCTCATTAACACAAATTGCTTATCAGCCAATCACATGTCAGAAATTCAATGCATTTAGGTATGTAGACATGGTCAAGATGATCTGTTGCAGTTCAAACTGAGCATCACAATGGGGAAGAAAAGTGATTTAAATGACTTTGAATGTGGTAAGGTTGTTGGTGCAAATACAGGCTTGTCTGAGTATTTCAGAAACTGCTGAACTACTGGGATTTTCACGCACAACCATCTCTAGGGTTTACAGAGAATGGTCTGAAAAAAGAGAAAATATCCAGTGAGCGGCAGTTCTGTGGGTGCAAATACAGTTCTGAAGGCAAAAAGGGGTCCAACCCGGTACTAGTAAGATGTAAAGTGACCGGTGAGTGTAATTATAACATTTGAAACATGTAGTAATAATGTAGAGTAATATAAAATTATGAGAATATATATAGTATAAATCATTTGAATTTAAACAAGTTGATTGCGAGTTGACTTGCAACATTTGCCATATTTTTTTATTTAATTATTAGACATAGATGTAAATTAATTTCTTATGAAATCTGTTTTAACAGCAATATTAAATTAAGTAGGTGTGCTCTGAGCAGTAAATTCATAGCAGCCCATAAAAACACCATAATAGTCGCTAAATTTGACTTATCTCATGAACTTACTGCAATTTGATGACATAAAACATGCAAGGAGTGGACCAGGGTCAGAAATAAACCAGGCCTGAGGCAAAAAATACCATCAAAATGACCAAAAGTCCCCCACATTCAAGATAGTCAAGCCAAAAATGTCCCTTCACATCTGAACTCAACCATTACCGCTATCATGATTAAAGCCGAATGTGAAAGTGCATGAAGTGTCAATATCAGATTCAGCACCCTTATTCATTTATTTGCTGCTCTGAGCATTCTAACCAGTTCCATACATTTCTGTTGAGCTTAAAAATACTGTAGCCAATCAGACGCGTTTAGATTAGTCAGGGACAGTTCCCACAAAAATGTACATTTGGGGTTAATTTACTCAATAATAGGCCATCCAAGATGTCACTTTTTTCTTCAATAGAATAAGAAATATTTTAACTAATGGTCAATCCAAAGTTGGTACCAGTTCATGTTAGTTAGCCAGGACTGATTCATTCACTTAATAATTCTACAATGTATCATCTGGAGCCATGAGTATTCATTTGAATTTACTTTATTTGATTGTTTGTTTATTTGATTTACTGCATTTGATGAATCCCCAAGGACCATAATGTGATATATAAATCATCTTTAATGTTCTACCACCTACTGTAAATCTTGAATGGGCCAAACATTTTTGGGTTAAGCATTTCTTTAATGACTACAAAACAAGCCTATGAAACATATGGAAGCATCACAAAATTGAAGGCCTTGTTATTTTTTTTTTATTTTTTCTGATGTGTAAAAGTGTGTGGTACATTAGGAATAGTTAGATGACTTAATTCTCTCTATTCCTTCTGTTTTTGCTTGCCACCTTTAGACTGAATGGACTTTTCATCTAGGTAAGAAACACGAGTACTTTTATTTAAACACCCACTTGCCCAACCTGATCTCCCTGCCGTCTTGTTTTATCAGTGTTTTTTTTCTCATATCACATGGCATATGATTCATTGGGATGGCCCTTGTTACTCCCATGCTGTGTTTTTATTTGCATTTCTTGTGTGGGCATGTACAATCCTTGATCTTTATTGTGAATGAGAGTCAGACCGATTCTCTTTATATAAAAAGGTATTATGCAGTGCCCCTTTCTTTACTTGGCAATGCCTGAATCAACTAGGACAAAAAAAAGTATGTACCTGATGCTGCATGACGTCAGCTGTAGCTTATCTAATAGTGGGAGTAATGAACTCACCGAAACGGTCAACTATTTTTCCACATGTCATTCTGACCTACTTCCAATCTTAGCATAGTTTAAAGGCAGTGACGCACTAATCGCCAGTCATGAAGATTGAAAGGGATAGTTCACCCAAATATGAAGATTCTATCATCACTTACTCATCCTTTACTTGTTTCAAACCTGTAGGAGTTTCGTTCTTCTATTGAACACAAAAGAAAACAATTTGAAGAAAAACGAAAACCTGTAACCATTAACTGCTAGTAGGAAAAACAAATGCTATGGAAGTCAATGGTTACAGGTTTTTGGCTGTCTTCAAAATATCTTCTTCTGTGTTCAACAAAAGAAAGAAACCCTATTAAAGCTTTGGCTCAACTTGCGAGTGAGTAAATTTTATTTTTGGGTGAATTATCCCTTTTCCAAAGAAGACTGTGCTTATAGCTTGTGTTGGTCACGTCTCACACAATAAGCTGAACACACTTTAATGATTACAAGTGAGTGCCCACGAGCACAGGCATTCAGTGTCTGCATGAATGGAAATAACTCTATATCTGCAGTCTGTAGCCTACAGATATAAAGTAGAGATCAAAATGAAAGAGCAATAGACAATTTACTAAATTTCTGCTGCTTAATCCTATTAAAAGTTACACAAACAGGAGACAAAAAGGAAGGTTTTTATGTTTGTTTCATATTTAGGTGAAGGCAAATAAAAAATTTCAAAAAAGTCAAAATTTTAAAACCGTTCAAATGTTCTGTTGTATCATTGCTAAGGTATATGTAAGGTTTTTTAATGTGTTGTAAAAGAAATCTGTGCTTTTGAAACTAATAAAGATAGCAGAAGTCATTTATTTATTTTAATTATTTAGCGGCACAGTGGCGCAGTAGGTAGTGCTGTCAACTCACAGCAAGACAGTCACTGGTTCGAGCCACGGCTGGGTCAGTTGGCGTTTCTGTGTGTAGTTTGCATGTTCACTCTGTGTTTGTGTGGGTTTCCTCTGGGTGCTCCGGTTTCCCCCACAGTCCAAAGACATGCGGTACAGGTGAATTGGGTAGGCTAAATTGTCCGTAATGTATGAATGAGTGTGGATATTTCCCAGATATGGGTTGCGACTGGAAGGGCATCCGCTGCGTAAAAACGTACTGGATAAGTTGGCGGTTCATTCTGTTGTGGCGACCGCGGATTAATAAAGAAACTAAGCCAAAAAGAAAATGAATGAATAATTATTTACCATGACATGTTTACTGTTTTTTTTTTTTTTTTTTTTTTTTTACCTAGAAATTTATAAAGAACTTATTGTAGAACAGTCGTCACAATACCGTGATAAACGTTAAAATAATCTCATCATTAAACAGCACTTTTTAAAAATTTATTTTTCACAGGATGGTTAATAATTGTGCCTTCATATGTAGTGTACATACATTAATTATTTTCTGAAGCACAGTATAAAACAGATATTTGAAAAAGAAGACTATGGAGCATACATACAGATTTAACTAAGGTCTAAAATGTTAAAGCTTGTGCGCTTTCACCATTTCAGAAACAGAAATCAACCGGCTAACCAAAGAAAAGCTGTTAAGCAAAATAAAGTGTCGTTGGCCTTGTTGAGTCTGGTTACCATATGGTTTTACTTTCACTCTTAAGGAAAACGACTTTATCAGTTAGAGTATAAATGACATTTCAGTTATTATCCAGACATTCATTTTCTAAGTGACATGGCTTTTTCACTTTTCGTTGCACAGCCCCTTTTGTTACTGGAGCACTACTTCAGCATAAGCTTTTAAAGAAAACTCCAATTTAATTCTTTTTTTGGAGACAGGCGTATTTTACAACTCTCAAAATTGTACAACTAGACAGTTCAGTTTTTTGAATTCACTCAGTTGATCTCCAGGCTCGACAGCAGCACTTTTAGCTTAGCTTAGCATAAATCATTGAATCCGATTAGACCATTAGCATTTGCTCAAGAATAAACAAAAGAGAGATTCAATAGTTTTACTATTTAAAGCTTTTGAAGTTACTTTATGTTATATGACTGATGGAAAATGAAAGGTTGCTATTTTCTAGGTCAGGATGGCTGGGAACTATACTCTCATTCTGGCCTAATGATCAAGGAACATTTCATCTTTAGCTGCTTTTAGTACACTAAAAAATCTGGGTCCTACACAATCGATTTGAGTTGGGACAACATGAAGGAATTAAGTTAAATTATTAGGTTTAACAAATTTAAGTGGATTGAACAATTTAATTACTCCAAAAAACTCAAGAATTGTATTTATTTCAGCTCATTTTAAGTAGTTTGAACAGTCATTTTTATGACTGTACACATTTTATCTTCTGAAGAGCGAAGCGTTAAATAAAAAAAAATATCAAAAGTCTTTTTGAAATTTTTGAGGGAGATGCTAATGGTCTAATCCGATACAATGATTTATGCTATGCTAAGCTAAACTAAAAGTACTCATGCCAGGCCTGGATATCAGCTGAACGGATTAAAAAAAAAGTCAAACTAGAGTGTTCCTTTAAGAACAACAACAACAAAATAACACTAGTCTTTTCTAATCAATTACGTTTCTTTCTCTCCGCAGGCAGCAGAAGCAGTGGCTCAAACCCCAGCGCTGGCAAAGGACGCAGAGCCTCGCCCCGAGAGAAGGAACACAAGGCACCCTGCTGTGGGGGGAGTGAATCAGAACTGGTGACATGGGTCACAAGAAGGGGTGAAAAAGCACCCAGTCAGCTGAGCCACCAAAGCCACAGCCGATCGGCCGCCAGCCAGTCCCAATCCGCTTACAGTCACGGCCACACACAGTGCCACCTCATCCCACAGCACAGCCTTAGCTTCAGCTACAGCCATGCTCCATTCATCCAGCCCAGTCATCTGTCATGCGCCCACAGCGAAAGGAGTCACGGCTCTTCTTATGGCCCGCCGGGTTTACCCCCTCCCTACTGCCTTGCGCATCTCGCCCCCAAAACAGCCGCAGGCAACAGCAACAGCCCGCCAGGAGCTCCTCCGATTCGGGAGATTGGAAACGTCCCACCAGAACTCACAGCAAGTCGGCAGTCTTTTCAGCACGCTATGGGCAATCCTTGTGAGTTCTTTGTGGATATTATGTGACAGGAGAGAGTGCCTTCAACATTCACTTCATAAGGTTTTGCTACTGACGATCCAATGCCTGCACTGAGAATGTACAAACTGATGCACAAATCTAAAGGGAGAGTTCACCTAATGCTGGAAATTCTGTCGTTTGCTCTAAACTTATTCTGTGAAACAGGAAAATCTGTTTAGTTGACCACAGTTAACTAAAACTGGGAAATTATTTAATTTATTAAATTTTCTTCGGCTTACTGGCTTAATTCATCAGGAGTCACGACAGTGGAATGACCGCCAACTAATCCAGCATATGTTTTGCATAGCAGACGTCCTTCCAGCCGCAACCCAGTACTGGGAAAAAACCCATACACACTCATACACTAAGGCCAATTAAGTTAATTCAATTCACCTATAGTGTATATCTTTGGACTGTGGAGGAAACCGGAGCACCCGGAGGAAACCCGCACCAACATGGGAAGAACATGCAAACTACACAGAAATGCCGACTGGTCCAGCCAGGACTAGAAACCAGTGACCTTCTTGCTGTGAGGGGACAGTGCTAACCACTGAGCCATCGTGTTGCATGAAATTATTTATTTTCAGTAATTTGAATAAAATTCTCTCTATATATATTTAATGTATAATTAATAATAATTAATTTTAGAATATTACAAGACTATATATATATATATATATATATATATATATATATATATATATATATAGATAGCATTCTTGATAATATTTATAGATAACAGTCTTGTAATATTCTAAAACAATTAATTACAATTAAATAATAAATAATAATAATAAACTAGGATGACTGCAAAATAAACTATTATACACGTAAGCAGTTTTAAACATTTATTTTTAAAATTGCAAAGATAAAATAAATCAGTTTAAAAAATTAGTCATGAAAATGTATGTTTAGAAATTTGTTGAAAAAAATCTACTCTCCATTAAACAGAAGTTGGGGAAAAAAGAAACGGGCTAACTTCAAATGTATATAATAATAATAGTAAACTGGATTTAAAAAAACCATTATAGATAAAAGTAACACCTATTAGGCCTTACAACAATACAAACACAAATATGCAAAACGTACAGCAGTAGAAAATATATTCATTTTTAAATAATTAATAAAAAAAGAAGGAAAGAATAAAAATAAAAATGACTCTCCATTTATAACTAAGCCAGCTTCCATAAATACATTTACATATGTAACTCTAATCAAATACATTTATTCTTATTTTCAATCATTCATTTTCTTTTCGGCTTAGTCCCATTATTAATCTGGGGTCGCCACAGCGGAATGAACCGCCAACTTATCCAACTTATATATAACTTATGCCCTTCCAGCCACAACCCAACACTTGGAAACACCTCTTGCATTCACACACACACTACGGACAATTTAGCTTATTCAATTCACCTATAGTAGCGCATGTGTTTGGACTGTGGGGAAAACCGAGCAAACTGGAGGAAACCCACACCAACATAGGGGGAACATGCAAACTCCACACAGAAAAGCCAACTGACCCAGCCGGGACCTTCTTGCTGTGAGACAGTCGTGCTACCCACTGTGCCACCGTGACGCCTTTATTCTTATTTTGTACTGTAAAATTTATTCTTATTCTATACTATAAAATAATAAGTGTTTTTTTGCGAATAATTTATACAGTTATTTTCAAATAACATTTTTGGAAACTAACACTAGAAGTGCGTACAATTACAAAAATTTTATATATTTTTTATTTAATAATAAAAAAAATGTTTTACATGTGTATTATAAAGATGAATATCCAAATATTTTCCATAAAATGAGAGTGGTTAGGCTGTCAGGTTTATTAAATGATTAACAACATGTATTGAACAGCCCAGGCTATTTTCATTTAACTTTTATGATGACTTTCATCTTTTTTTTTTTTTTTTAATCATATTGGAGCTTGACAGCCCCAGTCCACACTCACTTCTTGTGTAAATGACAAAAAACCCGCCAGAATATTATTTAAATATTAACTTTTATTGTTCAACAGAGGTGTGAGCATTTTGAACGTGAGCAACGTACATCAGAATATTCATTCTTAGGTTTGCTCTTCCTTTAATGTGCATCCGATGTTATTTAGATCAGCGAAGAACACTAAAAAAAAAGCACAACAGCAGAGCTAGTTCAGACTCTAGCACAAAAACACAGCAGTAGCAGCACAAGTTAACACAACTATAAGCTTTTATCAGGAATCTCGATGTATCAGATTGTCTGCTTCTCATACTCGGCTGCTCTGCACTTTGCACAAGTTACAAACTAGACACAACAGTCCAAACCCTGACATATATATACAATTGCATTTGACTTCATAACCCTGTCGACAATCAGACATTGTTGTTATGACATCCCTAAACATTACTGAATGTATCGTCTTGTGAGGCTACAACTACGCTAACTCTCTCATTAACACATTAAAGGAACACACTACTTTTTTTTTGTAAATAGGCTTTTTTCAGCTGACCTCTGGGTTTTGCAGGAGCGCTTTTAGCTTAGCATAAATCATTGAATCAATTAAGACCAGAGGTGTCCAAACTCGGTCCAGGAGGGCTGGTGTCCTGCATAGTTTAGCTCCAACTTCCTTTAGCACACCTGCCTGGAAGTTTCTAGTATACCTAGAAAGAGCATGATTAGCTGGTTCAGGTGTTTAATTGGGGTTGAAACTAAAATATGCAGGACACCGGCCCTCCCGAACCGAGTTTAGACACCCCTGGTTTAGACCATTAGCATCTCACAGAAAATTTCATAAAGTTTTTGGTTAAGTTTTGAGAGATTTCCTATTTAAAGCTTGACTCTTCTGTAGTTACATTGTCTTTCTGACAGAAAATGATAAGTTTTAGGTCGCTATGGCTAGGAATTATACACTCAATTTGGCGTAATGATCAAGGAAACGTGACTGCAGCAAGGATAATTTTATTACACAGAGCCAAAAATATTGCTCAGTTAGATAACTTGTTAACAGTGCCATGTTAAATCAGCTTTGTTTATTTTATGTCTTGAATTTTTAAAAGCAAGATGCTAATGGTCTAATCTGATTTAATAATATATGCTAAGCTAAGCTAAGCTAAGCTAAAAGCACTCCTGCCAGACACAGAGATCAACTGATTTAAAACAGCTAAAACTTAACACTTAACTCTAGAGAAGTTGTAAAACGAGCCTATTTTCAAAAAAACATTTCAATAAAAATAGATTGTTCCTTTAAACTGTTGATAAATAATGTTTAAGTTGGACTAATAGTTGCCAAATGTACATGATACATTTTTGACTAACAAACAGGTGCTTTTCTTCGAGTCTGCAAACTGACTGTTCAAACATCACCAGTTGTCTTAGTATTGACCACTGTATTACCAACATCATTGTACAGATAATGCTGTAGAGAGGTTTTTAAGATGTTATGATACTAAAACAGGCAGATAGGATAACCAAATTCCCAGTTATTGAGTGGTCTAAAATGATTTTTTTTAATGGAGGAAAGGACATGGTGTCTGTTATGGTCTTGTTTACTGGTAAAGCAGTGAGGTGTTGTTTAAGAACATGCATTTGTAATGTTTTATTTTTTTATATTATACCATAAACTCATCTATCTGCCTGAGCCAAACCAGAAATGAGTTAGCTTTCTTTTTCTTTTTTTTTGGTCAAGCACTTTTGGACTAAAACTTCTGGGCCCTTTAGAATGGAAACACTGATTACAGTAAAAGCTGTTTGCTTTATTGTTTCTTGACAAAAGAGGAATAATAAATTGTAAATATGATGACATATATATTATATAAATATATATATAAAACAGAGAAAATAAAATTTATGTATGAAGAAGTGGCCAGATATTTTGTCTATGTGTTTTTTTTAATTCTTTGAAACAAACAGCTCACATTAAGTAATCTTATCTTAGTCCACTGCACCATCAAATCTCTTGTTATTTCCAGAAATCCTTAAGGCGGTAATAACAGCTTCAGCGTCTGGTGTTTTATCAGCATGATTTATCATAGATCATAGATATAAAAACCAGATACTTTTCAGCTTACTCGTTATATGGTGTACATATCTGTATTTTGAAACCTGTGAGAACATTTTTATTCTCTGAAGCGTAGTTCCTGATAGTGGAGCAACGTTTTTTTGTTTTGTTTTTTTTTTTAACGTGGAACCAAATGGTTACATATGTTTATCTCAGAACTAGACTTCATGCAGAATGTTTTGACTCTCAAGGTGACGCATTTGAAACTCAAATCTGTTCTGAATAACTGCTATAATGTTACGGCTGTAATGTAGAAACTGAACACATTTTTTGATGTCTACATTTATGCAGCATATGTTGAGTGTGAACAAATAAACATATTAAATTATACATATTCATATATTTTTTAACATAATATTAATGTTTGTTGTTTATGGAGTACACTAATTTTAAATGTTTACATTTTTTTTAAACGTCTCTGCAGTTATAAAATACCACATGCCATAATCAATATAAAGACAATGTATTTCTAATCTAAATCAAACACACACACACACAAAATTAAAGTGCATTGCTGAGCAAGAGCGGGTATAAATGTATATGGTTTAATTATAAAACACCAGTGTGTCTGTATACAGCCACTTTATCAGGCCACTTTATTACAAGGCAAATTTCTAATCAAAAATCCCATGTCAGCACCTCAATGCATTTAGGCACATAGACATGGTCAAGACGATCTGCTGCAATTCAAACCGAGCATCAGAAAGGGGAAGAAAGGGCATTTAAGTGACTTTAAATGTGCCATGGTTGTTGGTGCCAAACAAGCTGGTCTGAGTATTTCAGAAACTTCTGATCTACTGGGATTTTCAAGCACAACCATCTCTAGGGTTTACAGAGAATGATGATGAAAATATCCAGTGAATGGCAGTTCTGTGGGCTCAAATGCCTTGTTGATGTCAGAGGTCAAAGGAGAATGGCCAGACAGGTTTCAGTTGATAGAAAGGTAACAGTAACTCAAATAACCACTCATTACAACCGAGGAATGCAGAAGAGCATCTCTGAACGCACAACACGTCCTACCTTGAAGCAGATGGGCTACAGCAGCAGAAGACCACACCAGGTGCCACTCCTATCAGATAAGAACTGGAAACTGAAGCTACAGTACAATTCACACAGGCTCACCAAAAATGGACTATAGAAATTGGAAAAATGTTGCCTGGTCTGATGAGTCTCGATTTCTGCTGCCACATTCAGATGGTAGGGTCAGAATTTCTTATTAACAACATGAAAGCATGTACCCATTCTGCCTTGCATCAACAGTTCAGGCTGCTGGTGGTGTAATGGTGTGGGGGATATTTTCTTGGCACACTTTGGGCCCATTATCATGCCAACGCCACAGCCTTT